TCACATGTATAGAAGTTGTTGATGTCATTGATCTTTTCTTTAATTCCTTATGCGCCTCACAAATGGTATCATGGTTATAGCCGCTGCAGAGTCGTAGCCAACATTCGAACACCATTTTCTACTACTAACAATGTCACTTCGGCTTTACATCTCAATAAGTCCGGACAACATGCATCTAACACATCCTTGAATCTCACTACAGACTCGAGGTCATGCAGAAGTACGAGTTTCTCGGGCTGGTGTCATTCGTGCTGTTGTGGTGGCTGGCTCTGTTCCTAATCCTATGGACCGCTCCCAGTTGGACGATTGAGGACTATGTGCAGTCAGTCGCCTACTGCAATCCCGTGTACTCGACCGATAGTATGAATAATAGGTGTGTGAACATATATAGCCATGGTATACGGGTGGTGGCCTATGACGACCTGATGTGTCAAATATATCAATGCGTTTAAAACAAGGGTTGATCTCAAAGAGATGAATACGTCCTCGCATTTGTGCGTAGTCTATGTTGTATAAACTGTTATCTGAGTTGTGTCGTTTGGGATTTGAACGGGCATACATCAACGTGTATAAATATATACATAGCGAAACCCCTTGAGTGCTCATTACTTGTCATACCATCGCTACAGTTTCTTCACGACACTATCAGATTGCGACTTCACTTGCTACTACCAATTAGATAGCATGCAAGAGATATACGATTACTTACTGACCGTTCCGAAGTGTGAGATTGCAGACAATTTGGGGTACTTTGAGGTAAGCCTGTGATTGGTCTTGGATTCTACATGTTGTTTGCAATTGGCCGTTGTTATAGGCAGGGCGTGCCTATTTGCTGGTGGTATTGGTTGTGCCTATTCGCTGGTGGTATTGGTTGTGCCTATTTGCTGGTGGTATTGGTTCGCATACGCATAAGTCGACAAGGGTGAATTTTAGTACCATCAATTAGCACGAATAGCTCAAGTGGGGCGTCATCGAATCCAACGGATTGCGGTCGGGTACGATCGTTGTACAAGCGACAAACAAGCCCTCACACGAATATCTATGGGTGTGTGACTAAGAACTGAGTATTCTCACTTCTCCTTGAACTTATCAGGAATAGTAGTGCATATGCGGACATAAACGCCATACTGTATGCTCGATTATAGTGATCTAGTTGGATCTATCTCATTGCACATGCGATTGTGTGCGTATTTTCATGTCTACTTACTCTATCCTGCGATTTCTATACTCATTCCTCAACAACTTGCGGTTAGTAAATAAACAGTCAGTGAGATCTGGTCATTTTATCTCAGAGATTTCATCCACCACTCTA